GCGGAGTTTCTGTATGACATTTTATACTACCTCTTCTGGTCCTTAATATAAGACCTTATTTAACTTTTACTTTGATTCTAAATATAAAATCCTAATATATTTTGTCTATCATATTTATCTATTTTTTCGAGACAGTCTTTCTAATAATAATATAATACCTATTTATAAAAAATAACTAACTTAACTTATTTTCTTAATATATTTAAATTAGTCAACTAGTTCTCTGCTGCAGGGGCACCGGTGATATTTTCCAGCATTACATTCTTATTATCATTTCGATTTGATCTTGTTAAAATTTAGTCCATTAAATGTTCACAAAAATTAGTATTTTATTTTTAAAAAAAAAATATTTAAATGACTATATATGTAGATGAATTTAACCTGCCAAGATTAAACCCCAATACGTAGATAGACCAAAAGGAACGGACTGAGGCTCTTTGTACTTAAATTTTCAAGACGTAAATCATTTTTTAATTGCCAGCAAGGAAATTAGACAGAGACCCGGATGGCCGGATCACCGATCACCTCCCGTGAGAATTCGTCAATCACTCCAGAAGTCTCTCCACCGTTAGATTCGTCCAACGACCGAGCGTGAGCGTCATATAAAACGATGTGTTGGCAGGCGCAGATGAAGGGCCATTTTGGGTTACATGCACGGCTCTCTCTCCCTCCGCATAGATCACGGAGTGGTTTCCTACGGTTTTGTTTTGAATGAAACCCTCTCCTAGCCATCGGATAAATCTGAGGGTGGAAAATGCACACTTATGACGCACTGCAGTTGACCTGGTTCCACTTATGTACTAGTACATCATTACTACCAATCCGTTGATGTGCACATTTGATTTTTTTTTTTTTTTGGCCAACCGTTGATTTGCGTATTTGAGGTCCTTCTATCGGCCAACAAAAATCCGGGATCCTTACCAATAACTATATACTGTATTACAATTTGGACCCGTTTTAGGGGCACGTTATAAGTATTTCCATTTTTTGGTTCCCAATATGCCTAATTACTGTCTGTTATGGAAAATAAGCAAAAGGAAATAACATTATTTATCGGTATTCATTCTTCTTAAGTCCGATCCCCTAAATTTGAGAGTTATAAACAAAGGCGCTCTCTCTCTCACACACAACCACACGAAAACAGCCAATAAGAAAAACCATTATTTATGAAGCGCTCTTGCAAATGGGATTAAAAAAAAGGAAAAATTTTAAAAAAGTGACTGTTGAATTTCAAAATGACAAATTAGGAATTACTACAAAAATATGTTGTTATTTGCTTTGTAAGTGTAGTCATTTTTTTTATAAGTGTAGTAACCAATACTGATTTGTCATTTTGAAATTCAACAGTAACTTTTTTGGGATTTTTCCTTAAAAAAAACTCGTACTGTATAGTACAAATGATTTTTAACTTCTAAAATGACAACAAAAACAGAATTTTTCGGGAAGTGATTTTTAAAGGCAAAAAATGTTTAATTTTTTTTAAAAGTAATTGATTTTTTTGGTTAAAAATTAAATGAGTCTAAGAGTTTATTATGATAGGAATATATGAGCAAAAAAATTCAAAAAATACTTATAAAATATCACTGACTACCCCCAGAGTTTTTCAAATCAGCAGCGGGATAATTTGCCAAATTATATATATATTTATATGTATATGTATATGCAACAATTACTTCCTCTTCCATTGCTATTTATAAAATCAATACTCATTGATTCTTAATACAAAACATATTTGACTAATTTAAATAGATTAATAATATTAGTTAAATTAGTTAATATGATATTTTTTTTTCTAAGATACCCTAAGCATTTTTTTTAATTCCCTCCATCCTTGTCACACTTGATTATTATTGAGAAAATATCAATGATGTTAAATGAGGAAAAAAAAGATAAACATGTGAAAATTAACTCACTAATTAGATTTTACATTAAGAATCAGAGGGATATATTTTTCCAATCAAGATTGGTTTTATTTTTCTTTGTTATCTATGATCAAACGTCCCATTGCTTGCATGCAGGAGCTATTTAATTCTTTTAAAAGGATCCATATTCCAGGAATGAAACAATAAAAAACATTTTTCAATTTTATTCTCCTTATATATATATTTTTTTAAAAATGATCAGCTCGTCAACATGCAACACAGCTCATACAAATTGCATAAAAATATTTTAAAAGATGATTAATATGTTATGGGTGAAATCCACAACGTTAGTTCATATTTTTCCTCTTTTGTTATAATTCTGTTGGGATATAAGATATTTTAATGCTATTTTTACCAGAGTATCTCTTCCTATCTGAGTATTTTAAAAAGGAAGCTCTTTTAAACCTCCAAAGGAAAGTATATTATCAGCTATAAAAAAATTGCATGACCACCGACCACCATAATCTTATAATTAAATCAGTTCTTTGAATTTGGAAGTAATAATCTCATTAGATTAGATTGATATGAATACAAACAATGGTATGCATGTATGTGCACAAGATGAAATAAATTATCCACTACGAATAGCACAATGCGTGATTAACTTGGGTAAGTTCATTGCCAAATTAAGTGAACCGTTATCCTCTTTTATTTATCGCTCATTCCAAATTGCACCTATTATTTCTCTTTTTCCCATGACTCACAAGCAATTTCTGTCTCTGTTATAAAACGCATCTAACTATTTTATTAAACCCAGAAGAGATGCTTAAATCATTAATCTTGTTTAAAAATAAATTAAATTCACCTTTTTTTATTGACTAATTCATTATTTCTTAAATATAATATCTGTGGACCATTACATTATTTTATTTTATGCGATGACTGGTGCAATTTTTTGGCCAACCTATGGGATATCCAGTACTGTGAAATTATTGAACGTTAGCATTATTAAGTTTAATTGAAATTAATTTCATAGTGTAATTTTTTTCTTAAAAAATCAACATATTAATTTTACTAAAGGAGAATCAAATCCGTCATACTCAACACGACAGTCATTCTAATTACTGTTTGTCGAGTGTTACATGTTAATGCTACTATTGATTACATTGCCAGTGCAATATCTTAGGCAAATTTTATTTTATTTTTTTAATTGATTTTGGAGACAAAGTGATTGGATGAATGTACATAAGGATTTATGATTTTTTGTAATTTAAAATAATAATTGATCTTGACGCCGGCAAATAGTTTATTTTACGTGAGGGGAATTAAATCTATCGGAATTGATTTCACTGAAGGGGAATCAAATTTACTGTGTCCTCAACGCAATAGTCAATGCAATTATTGTTGGTTGAACGCTACATGTTACAATTGATCATATTACTACCATGTATATAATATTGGGTAAAATTGATTTTTTCCAAAAAAATAGACATAAAAGTAATTGGACAAATGTGCATATAAGAATTCACTCCTACTATTTATCAATTACATCTAATATCCTAGTTTTATTTATTATACGTCTAATGCCTTGATGTTATATTTATTGTACTATCGGTATCTTAATATTATTTATAATGCATTTAAGTATCCTAATTTTTATTATTATTTTGCCAACCAACATCTCAAATTATAAATAAGATTAAGGTATTAAATGTAACTAGAAAAAGAACATCAGAATGCGGATGATGAATAAGATCAAGATGATATTGAGAGAGGATTTTATAATACTACCTCCGATCTTTAATATAAGATCTCGTTTGACTTTTATTTTAATCCTAAATATAAGACCCTAATCTACTTTGTTTCTCATATTTGTTTTTCAAGATAACCCTTCTAATAATGATAGTTTTAACTAATGAACTTCATTTATAAGGATATTTTTAAAAAGACAATACTTATTTATTACAAATAACTAATTTAACTTATTTTCTTAATCTAATCAAATTAGTCAACTAGTTTTTATATTTAAAACTAGAGGTAGTATATTTAGAGCTTGTTTGGATCACAGTTACAAACACCAAAAATCTATTGAAAATGGTGAAACTAAGGTTGCAAATTGAGTTGGAGAAAAACTGTTGTTTGGCTAGGCTAACTTTTCCAACCAACTTCTGGCCTTCAATCTCAGTTGAACTCAACGGAGAAAAATCTGACTTTTCAAACTGTAGTTCCAAACGGTGATTATTAAAAATAAGCATCTCAGATTTACCATCACATTTTCCCCTCTGTCTCATCTCTTTCGTTAGCATAATGAGCTTTTATTCAAACCAAATGAATTTTAATTTATATTCATGTTTATCCATTATATATATTTAATTAATTAATCTATAATATGTTTTCAAATTTTTCTTCATAACAAATATTTTTATTTTATAATTTCACAAATAAAATATTTATATTTTATCATAATAATTTGATGTATTTTTTAAACTATTATCATATTAAAAACATAAAATTTCAAACAATACTATTCAATAAAGTCTATGTCATTTTCAATCATTTTATAACTAAACTAACTTTTCTATTAATCATCCAAAGAACTTTTAATTTTTTCAACTAACTTTTTAAAAGCACCTATCCAAACATAACCTAACTGATTTTTACTTTAACTTCAATTATAAAAGTCAGTTGAGTTAAAAGTCAGTTTTATTCCACGTCAATCTAAACATACTCTTAAAACAGTTCTGTTAAAACGGATAAGAAAGAATAATCACCGGTTGAATGGTGATAAAGTGGGTGAAGAGAAAATGGGAAGGCTACGATCGGTGTTTGACAAAGATGCAGACGCTACGGTTACTGTAGCGGCCTCCGCCAACAGCCAAACATGTATTTTTTTTTTTAATTTACATTTTTGCCATTCTCGAAATCGTATTTATTACCACCCCTTTCCGTAGCGTAATTACTGTTTGATTTAGAATCTCGGAAAGATTATAATTGATTTATTTAATTATTTTTAATTTAATTGATTGATTCACCACTTGCGATTGTCAAAACTCATTGTTTACTCGTTTTCCAGTCTATAAATACACGGCCCCTCTTCTCCCTTTCTTCTCCCCCTGACTCACTAGCATTCACATTCTCATCATCATCTTCTTCATCTTCTTCCTCCTCCTCCTCTCTCTTCTTCTCCCTCAAGGGTCTGTGTGTTTGGAGAGAAAGAGAAAGAGCGTGCCCTTTTACAGGGTCTGTCGGAAGATTACTACAGGCATAGCTAAGTCAGTGGTGGCTCTGCTTGAGTTACGTTGACGACCACATCATGGAAGGAGGGGTACCTACGGACGCCGACATGTCGGCTTTCAGAGAATGTTTGGCTCTGTCGTGGAAGAACCCTTATGTTCTTCGCCTTGCTTTCTCTGCTGGAATTGGTGGCCTTCTCTTCGGTTATGACACTGGTATATCATCTCTCTTTCATATGTAACCTTTAACACTGATTTATAATCTGTTGATCCCAGTTAAAATCTGTCTTTTCCCAGCTCCCGGCTCGTTCCCCTGCTTCTCTCTGTTTACGAAACGTTTATTTATTTATGCGTTTCTGTGGCCTGTTTTACTCTGTTTTATTATTTATGCAGGTGTCATATCTGGGGCTCTCCTCTATATCAGAGATGATTTCAAGGCTGTTGATAGGAAGACCTGGCTGCAGGTAATTAATGCTTCTCTCCAGAGTCGCAGACTGTAAATTTTTTAACCTTTTTTTTTTTTTAAACTGTGATCCAAGGCTCTCGTTTCTTGTGAGTTTCTGCCATATTTTAAGCCTTGCATTCCAGAGCCACCAAGTTGCAGAAAAGAACAAGCCCGTGGTTTCCCTATTTCAAATCAGTTTGACAAATCAAAGCCTGTCCTTCAAACCACAACATATATCTATTACTGTTTATATCAAAACCCTTATTTTTCATAAAAATTTTTTAATGGTCAACAACAAATTATAATAGCAATTTTGATCTGACTATTGGAAATATTGCCCAACTCTGCTTTTTGGACTGTTGTCACGGGGAGAATGGGGCTTCAATTCTAATCTAGCTACATGTGGTTTCCTGTTCACGGACTCCAAAAAATTTTAGTAATATTTATATCGATCTATTATCGGCAAAAAATGTTATTTATGTAACCTCTTTCTCTCTCCTTTTCTTTCTATCTTTGTTTTTTTTTTTGGTCTGTGTATCTCTCAACAGTCACCTGATCCGGGTTAGACGGAAGAGATACGTTTAATTTATGATCATGGGATGGTAATTATTTGGTTATTTACTTCTTTTCGTTGAAGGAAACGGTGGAGCAGATTCCTCACTTTCGGTTGGTGTTTTTGGTCAAAAGATAAATGACTAAGATGTATCCCGACCAAAAGTGACAGGTGTCTCAACCTTGTTGGGCCTGGTCCACCGGCTCTTATTTTATTGGCCCAATAAGTTCGTTTGTCCAGTAAATCGAAGTTAGATATCCACTTCTCAGCCCATACAAATTTTCTCGTATCTTTTTCTTTTGTCATGGGATACAGGTTGCTTTGTATTAAGTAGGATTCTTCTGTTTAGTAACTTACGCTCAAAAAGTTATATAACAGGCGTCGGTTATTTATTCTACTTTTTTGCAATTATTATCATCATGAATTTCGAGACTACTTTTTTTTTTTTTTTTTTTGGGTTTCCCGATTGATTACGCAAGACAAGATAGAAGTATGAACTCGTACTCCTGATTTTTCAACTTCAGAGTTAGTTAGAAGAAAAGTAAGGAAAAAGTAAAGAAATTGTCGAATCACGATCTGTAAATTTATAAAAGAAAAAAAAAATGTGGCATGAGATGGGAGTGATTTGAACAGTGAAACACAGAATGGTAAAAATAAGTGTGATGTTTGATAAAACAGGAATCCATAGTGAGTATGGCACTGGCTGGAGCAATCATAGGAGCGGCAGTTGGAGGATGGATTAACGATCGTTTTGGAAGGAAGGTAGCAATCATCCTCGCAGATGCGCTCTTCTTTGCTGGTTCCGTGATCATGGCGGCTGCTGTGAATCCTGCAATTCTCATCTTTGGTCGAGTTTTTGTTGGCCTCGGTGTTGGAATGGCCTCCATGGCTTCTCCTCTCTACATATCTGAAGCTTCACCCACCAAAGTTCGAGGAGCGCTTGTGGGCCTTAATAGTTTCCTAATCACTGGCGGACAGTTCCTTTCTTACCTTATTAACTTGGCCTTCACCAAGGTAACAAAAGATCTTTCGTTTTTCTCACTGTTATCTATGCTTCTCATGTAAAATTGAAACTATCATGTCTTTGATTATTTCACCTTACTCACTTTATGATATTGCTGAGTGAAATTGTGTGAATGGTATGTTCAGGCACCAGGAACATGGAGGTGGATGTTAGGAGTAGCTGCAATGCCAGCTTTTATTCAAATCATTCTAATGCTGATGCTCCCAGAATCACCTCGTTGGTTGTTCCGAAAGGTTCGTTCACGATCACTTGACGACATAGAATATTTTCCAACAAGTCATATCTTAAACTTATTGATCCAACTTTTGCTTTGTCAATGACAAAACAGGGTAAAAATGAGGAAGGAGAAGCGATTCTACGGAGAATTTACTCACCGGAGGAAGTTGAGACTGAAATCCAAGCACTGAAGGAATCAGTGGAAGCGGAAGTTAAAGAAGCAGAATCATCAGATAAGGTCACCATAGTCCAACTTTTCAAGACCAAAACTGTAAGGAGAGGACTATACGCGGGAATGGGGCTTCAAATCTTCCAACAATTTGTGGGTATCAACACAGTCATGTACTACAGCCCAACCATTGTTCAACTAGCAGGCATTGCATCCAACCAAACAGCACTGCTTCTATCCCTCGTCACCGCGGGACTAAATGCTTTTGGTTCTATTGTGAGCATATATTTCATTGATAGAACTGGAAGGAAGAAGCTTGCTTTGATCAGTTTGTCCGGGGTTGCGGTCTCCCTTGCTCTTTTGACTGTCATTTTCCATGAGACTGAAACGCACTCCCCAGTCGTTAGCACCGTTGAGACCAGACACTTCAATGGTACTATCTGCCCTAATTTCAGCGCAGATCTTAATGGTGGATGGAGTTGCATGAAGTGCCTGAAGGCTTCTGCAGACTGTGGGTTCTGTGCTTCTAGAGCTGACAAGGTAAGATATCACAAATCCTCAGAGATAATGATTAATCTTGTTACTGCTTTAAGATATTAAGCATCATCATTCTGAGTGGTTCATCATAAATTCTTGTGCAGCTTCTGCCTGGGGCATGTTTGATCTCTAATGATACAACCAAGGATCAATGCCATGATGAGCACAGGCTATGGTACACTAGAGGGTGTCCTAGCAAAGCAGGTTGGGTTGCAATATTGGGGCTTGCACTTTACATTCTGTTCTTCTCACCTGGCATGGGAACTGTTCCATGGGTTATCAACTCCGAGATCTATCCTCTGAGGTATAGAGGAATCTGTGGAGGGATGGCATCTACGGCAGTTTGGGTGTCAAATCTGATTGTGTCCCAGTCCTTCTTATCCTTGACACAATCCATTGGGACCGCCTGGACATTCATGCTGTTTGGTTTCGTCGCTGTTGCAGCAATTGTCTTTGTCATCATTTTCGTGCCAGAAACCAAAGGGCTCCCAATAGAGGAGGTGGAGAAGATGCTGGAGAAAAGGACCCTGAACTTCAAGTTTTGGCAAAGAAGTTCTGGCTCGTCAGAAACCAAGAAGTAAAATGACTAGTTAGCTTGTCTGTGTGTGGATTTACGCTACTTTTTAATCATTAATTGTGAAACTATAATATAAATATGGTGTTGCATAAGTAGCTTTTTATGAGTAAGAAGCCGTAGTTGCATTAGCATTCCTGTGTCAATTCCCTATCCATCTTCTCCCCAACTCGTAAGATTTGAGTTTGGCGGAGACATTTATTGGACTGCTTGAATATATTTTATGAGATGCTGTTTTGTTCTTCATTTTGCGATCTAAATGACGAGAAATTTACTAAAGGGATCGTATCTGTGTGCTTAGTTAATGAACGAGTGGTCACCAATGACCCTCCATTATTTTTGTGTGAATTGTCATTGCATGACCACATGAAAGTTTTAGTATTCAAATAAAATTTATTCTGAAGTCTGCCTCATAAGGAGACCATATTCGAAGACTTTCTCACTAAAGTTTTCCTCTTTCCAAAAAATAAAGATGTAGACAATGATAAAACCCGTGATAGGCTTGCTCTATGGTTGAAGGGGAAAAAGCAAGTCCAAAGGCAAATGTGGTTCAGAATTAAAGAATCATGGGTGACTAGAATTTCTGCGGGCATTGATATTACACATAATTCACATTTCTTTTCAATAAAGTTTGTAGATCTATATTCAAATAATCAATATACATGGAGAGATAAAAGTACTAGAAAAATATTTTTTATATTTTAAATGAAGTAATATATATAATTTCACTTCATATATTTCATACGGTTTTTTCAATATTATATAAATTATATACGAATTATTATCTATATGATGCTTTGAAAGATTTTTCTACCCACCGTACCTGTTGTAGTTTTTTTTTTCCTAGGCATAAGTATTTTTTTATTGGATACAATCTTGTTCGAAATACTATCAGCTAATAAGCATAAGCACTTGTTCCAGCAAGAATTCAAACACTAATTCACCATATTACGGGGGATTAACCTCTTTCAGGCGTTCACTAGATTCAATCCTCATGAATTTTTGCAGTATATTTGGACCTGAATCATGAATCAAGATTTTTCGGGCCATTGATAAAGTTGGTCATGTGTGAAAGTAGGCCCAAGCCTACATTGCTCATTGCCTGTCACTGACTTTTCTTTATTGTCATGACAAGGGAAATAATGATAGGAAATTATTGTCTCCTCATGTTAAAATGCAACTACGATTCTCATGGGGACACCCTTTTAACTAAAACGTTCACATGTTGTCCCAAAGAATCAGCAGATGGGATATGGGGTAAGGAAGATGTTGGTACCATCATACAATCAACATGGAACATCTAGTCATCTACGTCCTCCTACTTGCTTCGGCTGCTAAGAAGTCTGCAGCTTTGTGTCCTTGGCGACTCACCAAAGATAGAGAGATATTTGCCATCGATTCTTTGGCAGCTAGAAGTGTTAGAACAATTCATATGAACACATATATTTATCCAAATAGTCATATAGAATTCTACAATCATCAGAGTAGCAGCGGAAGACTTATAAATACCTCTCGCCATGCTAGATAGTCTGAAGAAGCAATCCACAATGCTTCTGGCCTTGATCTGGATTAGAATAACAGTCAGGGAACCTCAAGAGCCATGTATTAGGTTTTCACAGATGCTCACTCAGTTAACCGTCAAAAACTTAACCCACCATCAAGGTCAAGAATGACTAAAAAGCACTGAGTCTAGAACCCTACCTGGACTGGGCCTAACTGACTAACGGGCCATACTTTGGATATTTTAATTAAAACAAAATAATATAATATAATATAAAATATATAATTAAAATATCTTACATTCTCCCACTTGGCCCGTTCATAATATGTCAGTTGACATGTCAAGGTTAATTAAGGCAATACTATTAGAATCATGGCGATAAGTCCCCTTAATCGAGTATTATCTTCCATGTATTACAAATAGCATCCTTACTTAATGGGTTATAACTTTATGAATAAACCTTAAATGTTTATTCGGTTCCAACTTGAATGTTTGTTAATCTCACATAATTCAGGTACCAAACTTGAGACAACAAACCAAAATTTGAATTTCATCACTTGATAACACCTCATTTAGATCACTACATGTGATCCATCTCTGATAAGATATTGATCCTTTGACATTTTTAATAGCATGCTCTTTATTCAAAGGATTTATGCTTTATGTGTTTTATGACCAATTAAATCCATGGTCATATAATAAACACCTTTGATGAATTTGAAATTAATTCAATAATTTAAAATCCTATGATGAAATTCATTAATCAACAATCTTACAACTTGCCTCTATGAATGATTACAAGAGACACTTCATGATGAAAGGAAACAATCAGTGATTGTTTAGCAATCTTGCACTCCTTCATGATGCAACTTGTTCATTAAGCATGAATATGTATCACAATGTTAACAATTTGTTGCTAACTCATCCAGCTAAATTGAACGATCTCAATCATTCAAAGAAATTGACTCATATATGTGAAGCATGATACCTAATGTACATTTAGTAATGTACTTCACCATTGCAGCTTTTCAGTTATCATTCAAGTATTAATTTACTTGTAACTCCAACTAATATTCATTGTAATGACATTGCCCATTTTGTGCACATTTAAACAAGGCAATATCCTACCAATTGACTTAGAAGAAATACTCATCATCTCCTTTACATGATGATCATATTAGAGACATATAGACAATCTGATCATATCCTCGTATCAAGTATGTTACACATGACAAATGTCATCTATTCGTGGATGTTCAAGTACTTGTGATTATATATTACTTATGATAATCTCAAGTACCTTGAGAATAATCCATTTATGTATTCTAAAAGAATACAGCACCTTAACCAATAATATCACAACTTTTGAACAATGACCATCCTCTCATTTGTAACACCTTGAGTCATAAATATGAACAATATATGGATCATCTATATGCAAATTATAGATGACCCAACTCCCACTAATCAAGTGATACAAACAAAACCATGATATTCTCAACTTGATCATGCATGTGAGTATATCATGATATATTAGTCATCACTATTTTGAGACTTGCTCATGGACCAAATTCTCCTTGTATAAACTATTTGACCTCTTTTACTAATTCATGTATCTCTCCTTGTATCAAAAATTGGAAAGATTCTAACAATATTCCAAATCAATATAGACATTGGTACCAAGAAGATATGGTGGGAACTATTCATTAATATAGGAGGTAATATCTCACTATAATAAGTTCCTTTTCTCCATAGAGAATCTTTGGCAAACAATATTCTTTTGTATTACTTAATGTTGCATACTAGCAACTATACAAATATTCAAACGTTATTGTTTGCCTTGAAATCTCACATATCTATTATGAAGCAATGCCTTTATTTGGAATTTATTTCATTTCTTGAAATATGAAATTGAGGTCATACTCCATATTTATATTTATGTTCTAGCTGAATACTTTTATGTACATCATGTAGTTACAGCGAATTACCAAATTTCAATCACTATTGATCTTAACTCAATCTGTTAATGAGATTGAAGTTGCAGAAAAAGAGTATCACCCATCAATTTTGAGATATCCCTTATATATTTTCAAATACTCCTTGTATAATTGACGGAATTCTTAATGTTGATACTCTTAATTTCAAACATGATCAATTGTGAATCTAAGAACTTCATGATGGTTTTTACATTCACCTTAACAAGATGAGTGCCATGCCAAACCAATGTTCTACCATAATTAGAGGTTGTTCTTTATATGTGATCATTCTTGATTAGTTTGATCACTCCCACTAATCATGGCAATAATAATGAATTTGGCATTCCTCCAAATACTATACTAAAATATGATGGACAAAACATTTGGATGCTTGAGACTTTTATGCATTTTCATCAAAATATGCAATATAAGTCTCAAGAAATATTTTCCTTCTACACTCTTTCTTTCATAAGACAATTTTTCTACAAGTATATATAATAAGTTAAGCTTCCAACTCTTTAGATTTTCAAAAGAATTTAAATACAAATTAGGTTGGAATCTCATTTAGTATATACATAATTGTCTTGAGTGTGTACCCGAAAAGGAAAAACAAATTGTAAACCTTATTGCTCAATATGTCTATTAATATTATGTTTCTTCTCTCAACAACATCACCTAGTGATTTCTTATATGAAGAAACTTAATATATAGACTAGGTTACTGTCCATCATTGATGTACTCACCATCTATCTCCCTTGTTGATCTCACTACATTAATCTATTTGTCAGATTAACCATCCAATTTTGCCTTGTACATTACACAATTATAAGGCAAATAGTGATCAAACATTGTGAGAGGCCACTTATAGGAAAAATATGTAATTCCATTTACTAGAACACAAACTTACAATAAATAATAGTACATGTAATCTCTTACTAATCATAACTCTTCAAGCTTTCTTAAAGTCGTGCGATGGTTTACGTATTTCTTAATGTAAACTATACATAAATTGGAATCAATAAGGTTTAAGAGATCATTAAATCTCATTCTTGATAAACCTTTTGACCCTTTCATGAAGATCTTTGAAACTATTATGCACCACACAACTTGAAGAAATCCTTCTCATGATTAGTACAAACAAAATGAGATTTTAAATGCACCAATGGCAATAATTTATCCATCATTATCTCCAATCAGACCTTTCCTTATTAACATATAATTCTTATATATGCACATCACTTTATGGTCTTAAGGTTGGTGACTAAATAACCCTTATTCAAATTTGAGCCAATCATTTAATATATACATTTTCAATAAATACTTAATCTTGCATGTATTTATGAAAACGTATATAGCTCATACTAATGAGATAATAAATTAAGAATCTCTTTCACCAACAGTAATGGAGATTATTTGTGCCAATACACTTTATGGAGAATCACTTTATAGTCCACATACAATGCAATGACTCTTTATGAGAATTTCTCAAATTCATCCTTCAGCCCATTTCTTGACTTTTGTTCCATTCATTATGTACCTATAACCAGCTCTTAATTGAGATCATTGTATTAAGACAATTTAGTCTCATGATACTATCTCATTTTGCATGCTAGAATTAATAGGCACTAGAACTTTCTTGATGTCAAGTTCAATTTAGTTGAAGAAGTTACATTTATTTTCTTCTAGGCTCAATAATTGTCTCTAACTCAAAAGATAACAATAATACTGCAAAATAAAAAATTAACTTTTAATCATGCTTACAACAACACTTTATGAGGCATTTGACCATCACGTTTAAGCGT